AGGTGGACGCACGAAGAGCGGCCCCCGCCCCCCCCCACTTCGGGAACTTTTTGGACCAGGTATACAGACAGTCGGGGCGCTGACCTCAGGAACCCCAAATGAGGACCGAGGCCCCTTTTCTCCAGGAGTTGAACTTCGATTTCCCATCGAAAACATAAGCAAAACCTGAGGCGAGCTGCGAAGCGATGAAGGAACACGGAGCCCCTCCCCAACGAAAAGGGCTCCCTGTTCAGAACCCCGACTGTACGGCAGTGGCCTCGCTTACAGGGCGCCTACACCTACGCACCCTCACCATGATTTTCTAAAACGTTGACATAAAACAAATTAGTAGTTGTGGGGGCTTCTTAGAAGGCACCAGCCCTACATCTATAGATAACGCCCGCGTCTTCAAAGAAGACCTCCCCCCTCCCCCAACCCCCCTCTCGCTTACAGGGCACCTACACTTACGCACCCTCACCATGATTCTTTAAAACGTTGACATCGAACAAATCAGTGTTTGTGGGGGCTGGGGTCGGTTTCCCACTCTGCACCTCGGCTGCACGCAGGAGTGACCCTGGGTAAGAGTGACCTCTGGTGCGCGACTTTGGGGGGGGCCGCGGGGGGACCAGACACGAGCGCGCGAGACGCTACTACCGCACCGCGCTCGGCGATCGGGGGACCCCGTTGGGCCCGCACCAGAGGTCACTCTGGCGAAAGGTCACTCTCACGTCTAGTCGAACCAGGCCGGGCTTGCGCCGGGCCGGCACAAGTGCACGCCGAGGATTTGTTTTGCTTTGTTCTCCCCACCCCGCGCATCGCTCCACCATCACGCAACCGCTTGACTGGAAGTCCGCATGCCCCGGATCCACCAGCCCGCCGAAAATGAAACGAAGGCGTCAAGCGTTGAAACGTTTCCCCAGCACAAGTGCACGCCGAGGAGAGGAGCTCCCGGCGGGAACGGCAGCGCTCGCGAGCCTCCCCTGGGGGCTCCCGCCCCGCGGAGCGTGGCGGCGCGCTGCCCCCGCTCGAGGCGCAGCGTGTCGCCGCGGCCGCCCCCGCGGCACGCCGAGCTGAGGTTCCCGAAGGGTGGGCTTTCGGAGGGCCGCGCGGAGCTTCTGGCCAGGGCCGGTGCGCGTGTGCTAACCAGCCTCGCCCGTAGCCCGATCCTGAAGATGGACAAGCCTAGATGCGATCACAATCTCAGGGGTGCGCCCTCACAGGCTGAGGGGAGCCTGCAGATCGGCATCGAGCTCAGGTGGTGCCAATCAAAGGGGTAGGGACACCAGGCCCGTAAGTGCACGCAGAGGAAGACCGATTGAATAAGCATCAACTGTCGGATCTCCGCGCGGATTTCCTGGGTCGGCGCTGGACCCTCCTCATGGGGCGCAGGGCGCCGTCAGGGGGAGCCCAGCGCCGATCAAAGAAATCCATACGGACCTCCGACAGCGTACGTTCGGCAACGTCTGCTTCGCGCGTCGGGGCGGCGGCCCTGGCGACACGCTGTGCCTTGAGAGTGGACAGCCTACCGCTCCGCGCCGCGGGGTGGGAAGTCGAGAAGGGCTCGGGGCGCTGACGCCCGGGAACTGGGACACGGATGGCGTGCCGCGCCGAAGCGTGGTGGGCCAGAAGCGGCAGAGAGGCACGCTGAAGCCCAAGCGCCCGACCGTGCGTATATGCCGTGCTCCGAGCGCTGGCCTCCCTAGGACCTCGGGGGGGGGCCCGTCGAGACGACGGCGACCCCCCCCCCTCCTTGGCGCTTTGCCAATGGCGAGGAGGAGGAACAGGAGGAGGCGAAGGAGGAGGAGGAGGAGGAGGAGGAGGAGGAGGAGGAGGAGGAGGAGGAGGGGGTGAGGAGGAGGAGGAGGAGAGGAGGAGGAGGAGGAGGGGAGGAGGAGGAGGAGGAGGAGAAGGGGGAGAAGGGGGGAGGAGGAGGGGGTGAGGAGGAGGAGGAGGAGGAAGGAGGAGGAGGAGGAGGAGGAGGAGGAGGAGGAGGAGGAGGAGGAGGACTGGCTGGCGCCCCCCGAAGCGGAGCTCCGCGCCCGCGCCCGAGCTGGCGCCCCGCGCCGCCCCGAAGGCGCCCAGCAGGTGCGGCCCGACCACCTCCCGCAGCAAGCCTGGGCGCCCGCGCGCAGGGCACCGTCGTCGCCGCGCGCCCGCGTCGTGGCCACCGCCGCCGTCGCCGCCCTCGGAGTCGCAGTCGGAGCCGCAGGCGGAGTCGCAGTCAGAGCGGGAGGCCGAGTGGCTGTCGGCGTCGTCGGCGGCGTCGGAGCGGGAGTCGGCGTCGCCGGAGGGCCGGAGGGGAAGGAGGAGGAGGAGGAGGAGGAGGAGGAGGAGGAGGAGGGCGACGGAGGGGCGGAGAGGGAGGAGGAGGAGGAGGAGGAGGAGGAGGAGGAGGAGGAGGAGAGGAGGAGGAGCCGAGGGGAGGAAGCGAAGAGAAGGAGGATGAGGAGGAAGAGGAGGGGAGGAGAGGAGGAGGAGGAGGCGGAGGAAGAGGAGGAGGAGGAGAGGAGGAGGAGGAGGAGGAGGAGGAGGAGGGGGACGGGAGAAGGGCACTAGAGGCGGCTGCGGCGGCGATGCGGTGTCGGGCCTAAGGTCGAGTGTAACTCGAACACGACAACACCCAGAGATAACCATCGAGCATGTGCGACGGGGATAGGAGGAGGAGGAGGAGGAGGAGGAGGAGGAAGAGGGAGAGGGAGCGCCTGCATGCGCACCAGAAGTTAAGAGCCTTGGAATGGGCTGCACTCCGGTAGTTGCAAGTCCAAAGGCGCAATGCGATGCGATGCTCGGGTGGAGGAATGGAAGGAGGCAACCACAGAGAGAACGCTTGGGGCTCACAGCGCTGGTATAGGGGGTGCTGGCGACCGTGCCTGAGCACAACCACAAGTTGGCGAGTACCAGTGGGCGGTGACAAAGATTCGAAGTTCTTGGTGCTCTCTGTGCGGAAACTACTCGCGCGAACAGTTTGGCGAGCCTGCGGACGCCTGGAACGGCAAGCCGTCGAGTCGTGGCATTATGTCGGGCCTGTCCCCCTACATGGGGATTTTCGACGAAAAATAAAAAATACCCAAAAAATCAAAAAATAATCAAAAAATAGTCTGGGGACTATTCTTTGAATATCTTTTGGCCTTTTGGGGGTAATTTTGAGCATGCCATATTTTCATCGAAAATCCTCCTGTAGGGGGACACGCCCGACTTAATCGTGGCACCACGGCCCCGAGAAGTTTGAGACGTGGCCCCCATCCGAAGAGGGACATGCCCACCACCAGTGCGGAGCTGGGCCCAGACCTCGGGCGTCCGGCGTCGTGTTTTTTTTGTTGTTGTTGACGCGGGGTGGACCCCGTGAGCTCCTGGCCCCTTCCTCGGTGCCAGCTCTTCATTGCAGGGGCCCTGGGACACACAAATAAATACACACAAACAACAGGAGTCCCCATATGTTCAAATACTTTCTGGGTTTCTGTCTTCCCCCCTACTTCCCATATTTCCCCATATTTTCTGGGGAATCGAAGATTAATTGTGTCTGTGTGTGTGTGTTTCTTTTCCTCCTGACCCGTGAGCTCCTGACCCCTTCCCTGGCGTCAGCTCTTCATCCCGAAGCATTATTGCTGACGGCCCCAGAGCGTTATGGTTGCAAACAAATGGATTCCACACTGCACATCCCCAACTGCCATGCGATTCAAAAAAACGCCAGACAAACCAGGTGCAACCCAAGAGCCGACCTGCGATGGGCAAACTGATGAGGTGGACCGTGGCGTTCCCGGGCCGGGCCGCCAAAGCCTCGAATGGCAAAAACGACCGTCGTCTTTTTTCAAGAGGCAACGGGGTCTCGGGGTCAAGCAAGAGCCCCACCTCTACAAAAGAACGGTGTGGCCAGAATTCCGATGCGAATCCGGCCCTGGCGACCAGAAGCCTCCTGGAGGCCCCGAAACGGCAAAGGAACGCCCAAGGCCCACAAACGTCCAAGAATGACGTGCCCAACAAAAGTGCGGAGCTGGACTGTCCCCCCGGTTCTCTCTCTCTCTCTCTCTCTCTCTCTCTCTCTCTATATATAAATATATATATATATATATATTTCTCTCTCTCTCTTGGGATATCGATCCCCTGACCTTCTCCTGGGGTGCGTCCTGGCAAAAACATCGAGGCGGATGCGGCCGTGCTGGCGAGGGCGACCCAGAGAGCCTGGCAGCCTTCAGCACCTCGATGCTGGAGCTTCGAGCCTCGATCCTCGACCCTCCTCGTCGACCCTCGATCCTCCTCGCGATCCTCGATCCTCCTCGATCCCCGATCCTCCTCGCGATCCTCATCGACCCTCCTCGCGATCCCTCGATCCTCGATCCTCCTCGATCCTCCTTCGATGCTCTATCCTCGATCCTCCTCGATCCTCCTCGCGATCCTCGATCCCCGACCCTCGATCCCTCGAGGGGCGCGCCGCCAGCGCGGAGCTGAGGGCTCCTCTCTCCTCTGGCGGCGCGCACGGGGGGGGGGGAGGGAGGGGGAAGGGCCTCTTAGAGGGAGGCCGCCTCCTAGAGGGCCCCGGCCTCACACCCACAGACGAGGCACGCGCCTGCTCAGAGGCAAGGCGCTTCTGAGCAGCCCCCCCCCCCCCGACCCCACCCACCCCGCACCGCATGGTGGAAGCTCTTCCGCGTTGGCCTGCTGCTGCGAGGACGCACGCGTGACGCCCTGCCCCGGCAGCCAGAGGTGCGTGGCACCCTTCCACGCCCCTCTGATGCACTTGATGCAGACCTGCAGGTATCTCGTCAGTAGCGTTGTACTTGGAATACACCCTTGTCCGCGACGCTGTGCCGGCCCTTGATGTTGTGCTGACAGCATGCTGCACAAGTGGACTCACCTCTGCGGCTTCCGCCGAAGTGTAGCTCTGCCTACCGTGGACTCTCGGCCGTCCTCCCATCGGACCGGTAGCGCAATGACGGCATGGTTACAGTTGTTGCAACGCCAGCCGGAGTCCAACGAGCGTCCACCCCCCTCTGCACGTGGCGGACCCCTGCCGCGAGTCCGAG